GTGTGTGTGTGTGTGTGTGTGTGTGTGTGTATGTGTGTAAGTAAGAGAAGGAGAAACACACACCACACACACACACACACACACACACACACTGGGCAGGTTTCCACAGGGGCTCAAGCTTTCAATGGTCCCTCTTAGTGATTCTTCTAGAGAGCCACCCAGCTTCCTGAAGACCTACCCACAGCCCTCATGTGAGTCCCATCCTTTGGCACCTGCGGGCAAAGGGGAGAGAGGGGACCCGCCTGAAGTCATGGGGTCTTCAGTCTCATCATAGGCTAAGTCTGAGAGCTTTCACATCCTAGGACTCTGAGAACTTGGAAACTGTCATTCTGGAAGCCTCAGTCAGATTGTCTCTCCATAATACATTCAACTCAGTAGCTCTGGCCCCTGGTGGAGTGATTTCCACAGCACCCCCGCCCCAACGTGGCAAGCATGAGAGAGCAGAAGTTTACCTGTGTGAGAGGCTCTTGCCTAGCGAGTGATGAAGCTTTTATTACTAACTAATCGCTCCAGCTGCCCTGGGAGCAGCTCAGCTCTGATTCGTCCTGCTGGGGCAGCAGCGTGCGTCCTGTAATTACCTCAAGTCAGATTGATTTCAGTTCGCTTTGCACCTCCCTCCCCGCTTCCTCCAAGCCTCTTTCCAGAGCTCTCTTTTGGGGAGTGAGTTTTGAGAAGGTGGGAGACCTGGGGAGAACCGGACCCCCTTTTCTTCAGCCTTCAGATCTGGACGGGTCTGCCTGCCCCCCTCATCAATTCTCCGACCTCTGTGCTGAGGATGCAGCCACTTCCAGGAGGGTTTTCCTCTGGAAACACACTCGGGGGCGGGGGTGGGGGTGGGGGGAAGAGAACAGAAGACCAAGAGGAGGGGAGGCTGACCTTCCAAAGGTCTATAGCAGGAACTTGAGGACGGAGGAGAATGAGGTTGAGACCTTCAAAGACCTCAAGGTGGAAGCTCAGATATTCTAGACCTCCGCAGCCTAAAATCTGTGCCAGCCTCTGTGACCCCCATCATCGTTGCTGTTAGGTGCTGTGGAGTTGACTACGAGTAATCATGATCCTATCTATGAACAGCCCATCTGAGCGCTGCCCCATCCTCATAATTTCCAGTATGTTTGAACACCTTGTTACTGTCTCTGTCAATCCATCTTGTTGAAGATCTTCTTTTCTTTCTCTGACTCTCTATCTTACTCAGCATGATGTCTTTTCCTAGGGACTGGCCCCTCATGTCCTAAATGTGTGTGACAGAGTTTCAGCATCCTTGACTCTGAGGAGCATCCTAGATGCACTCCCTCCAAGGCTGACGTGTTATGTGTTCATTCCTTTTGGCAGTCCATGGAATAGTCAGTACTCTCCCTAGTCAGTACTCTCCCTTGAGACACAATTCAAAGCTCTGATTGTTTTTTTTTGGTCTTCCTTACTTGTTGCCCAACCTACAGATGCTCAGAAAGCAATTTAAAATACCATGGACTGAGTCAGGTGCACCTTAGTCTTTAAACTTACATCCCTACTCTTCAGCCCTTTGGAGGAGTCCTTGACAGCAGATTTTGAGAGCAGATTTTTTTCCCCAGTGCCATACATTTTTTGATGTCTAGCCTGCTGCTCGCTTGGATGTTAAAAGGAGGATCTAAGTAAAATGAGAGAATTGACAACTTCAGTCCTTTGTTCATTTATCATGTTGTTGCCTGTTAATCTAGTAGTAAGGACCTTTGTTTTCTTGATGTTGAGATGCCAGCTGCAGTCTTTGATCTTCTGCACTAAGTGTTTCAAGCCCCACATCATCAGCATCTACTGTACACTAAGCACTGTGCTAAGAACAGGCTTTTCAAAATTGAGCCTGAGCTGGAGACTTAAAAGAGATTAAAGAGTGGGACTGGTGAATTACCATTTAGTTTGAATCAGACGATGCAGCCATTGCAAATGACAGCATGAGGACAGGGTTGGAACCCCCAAAGCATGTGATGTGATGTGATGATTCACTCAGCTGAGTTACAGCCACTTACTGTGTCCCAATTTCCCAGGATGGCACAATTTTTGAATCTATAGTGCCTGGTGGTGCAATGGCTAAGAGCTCAGCTGCTAACCAGAAGATTAGCAGTTCAAACCAACCAATCTGCTCCCTTCTGAGCGAGAAAGATCTCTTGATAGGCTCTTGTGAAAGCTTATAATCTCAGGAACTGAATGGCACAGTTCTGCTCTGTGCTATAAGATAGTAATCAACTTGATGATGGCACAGAACAAAATAAACACGCTTACCAAAAGGTTGACAGTTCAAATCCACCCCAAACCAGTCATGGCACTCACTCAGCAGCTGTGGTGCAGCAGTGCAGTTGTCACAAGGCTGACTTGGTTTGATTTCTGAGGGGTTTTTTTGGGAGGGAATGAATTTATGTGTTTGTTTTAACTTTTATTATCATTCAGATGAAAATATACAGAGCCAATTATCTTCTCATTCAACAATTCACACACATTTGGTTTTTTGGTTTCATGGTGTCAGTCACAGTCCCCTCAATGTCAGCATTTCTCCCTATTCCTCCCTGGAATTTCTGTTTCCATTGTTCCTTCTTTTTTGCCCTTTCCTACATTCTAAGTTTTGTTTTGGGGGCAAATTCTGCACCTCATAGGTTGTTTGGGGGCAAATTCTGCACCTCTGAGGTCTCATAGGTTGATTGGACCAAGGGATACATTTCTCTCATGTGTTGTTATTAGCTTTATAGACCTGTCTGCTGTTTGGTGAAAGGCTGATTCAAGGGAGTGAGTTCACTTCCAGGCTTGAAGTGTGTGTCTGAGGGCCAGAGTCCTGGGTGTTCCACTAGTCCCTATCAGTGCAGTGAGTTTTAGGATTTTAAGTTTTATTCTACATTCTTTTTTTTTTCTTTCTCTCAATGTCCTATATAATTTATTGTGATACTGACTGCCAGGCACCATCTACCTCTTCTGATTTCAGGATAGTGGAGACCGTAGTTTACTGAGCCCATTAGCTCATTGGACCAGTATATATATATATATATATATATTTTTTTTTTTTTACTTTCTTCACTGTTCTTTGCTCTGGATAGAAAGAAATCAATAGTTGCTTCTTAGATGGCACCCACAAACTACACCAGCCACTATTCACCTAAGTAAGATGTGTAGTCTTTCTGGACTATAGTAAGCCAATTGGGTTTAGATGTCCCCTGATACTGTAATCCAAGGCCAGTGACTTATTCCTTCACAGTGTTTGGCTATGACTGCGAAGTTTTCCGCAGTTTGTCCCAGGTCTGCTCTCCTATCAGGAACCTTGGTGGTATAATCTATTACATGTTGGACTGCTGGCTGAAAGGTTGGTGGTTCAGATCTATGAGCTTCTCCTTAGGAGAAAGATAAAGCATTCTCTCTCCATAAGCATTATAGACTCAGAAATCCAAAGAAGGGCCCCATGAGCCAGAATTGACTCAACAGCAGTGGCCTTGCCATGCTTAGATCACATACTTGCAGGCATCCTGTCAGGAGGGATCAGGTTTTGGAAATAGACGTCATGCTGGGAAGGGTGGATGGTCAGAGAGAGGAAGACCCACAACAAGACGGATTGACCCAGAGACTCTTAACAATGGATTGGAGCATATCAGAGATATTCTGACTCAAGACAGGACAAGATTCAGATCTGCTGTGAGTCAGAGTCATCTCGAAGGTGGCTAACAACAGCTGTATCTTCTGGTATATTTGCAGTATATACAAACATATATGTAGAAATATCCTCTGCTAAACCAGGACATACTTGTGTGTGACTCCCTTCCCACATTTGATCAGTATGTCAACTCATGTATTTCCTGGTCAATGTTGTTTATTGTTATTGTTATTACTGGATTGTGTATATAACAGTATTTACCTTTGTTGTCTGTTACTCTTCTGTGCTTCCCATTGTCTTCCTGAGCCTAAGTAATGGTGGGCTAGCCTTTTCTTTTATCTTCTTTCCTCTCATTCATGTTTCTATGTGTCTCCTTTATAATTAAGGAGCTCTGGTGGCTTAGTGGTAAGAAGCTGTGCTGCAGTCGCAAAGCTCTATAGTTCAGATCCTCTAACTCCTATGCTAGATAGGAGAAGGATGGACAATTTACTGCTTCTGAAAACCTGCTGGAGGGTCAGCTATGGGCTAGTTTTAACTCAATGGTAC